GGGTGACAAAAGTCATGAGATAGGAATATGTAAATACACAATTGTAATAGAATCACGTACTATAGGTTTAAAACGGCAATACATTGGCATAGCTTTAATTTGTACTCAAGTGATTCGTGTGAAAAGTTTTCTGATGGGTTTATGGCCATATGACGGGAATTAACAGTCTTTGAACGCGGAGTGGTAGTAGTATTTAGACGCGTGGGTCATTCCATTTAGGGAATTATATATTCCGAGGTCCACATGGAGAAGAGTGTGTCAATAATACCTAATTTCAGGCATAACCTCTCACCACGGACACAGCAGTTGCCGCGGCCTTCACTTAATGACCGAGAGCAGCGGCGGCTATTGCGTAGAGATGTCAGCAGAGCGTCCTGGGTTCTAAAAAAATTCCGATTGTATTTCCGGTATTTGTGTTACGGGATCCTGACTTCGGCTGATCTACAATCAAGCCAGTGCGTTCTCAAAACCTTCGCTGAAAGCTAGTTTCATTTTCAGACAGAATTTTCTTGTCGTTTCCATAAGATTGCCACTTTTTAATTGGCAACTTGTAAGCTAAATGCAATAGGCATTCAAACATGCGAATCCACCTATATAGAACTGACAAACCAAATTTCAAATTTTTCTGTGTTTATTTTCCTGTCAATAGTTTTATTTACTTTATTAAAAGTTGACGTGGCATTACATATGTAACACTTTTGGGTCGAATTTGTTTCAATCAGAGCGCTACACTTTGCCATCATGAGCAAAGATCATTTAGCGCCTCATCTCCATTTGTATTTCTCCAATCTTGAATGTATTGTACTTGTTTGAATTATTTATTTTATCAACTCTATTTTTTCCCCTAATGCACACATTGATTCTTTTACAAATTATATTTTGAGAGCCCAACGATATATTGTTGATGAATGTCGAGGATTTTACCAAACAAGTTTTACACTACAAACCTGATGAGTTGTAATAAAAATAATAGAATTATCAGCATATAATAATGACATGCCTGCTTGTAAAAGCTGTGATCTGAAGAGCTATCAAATCCTCATTTTGTTATCAGCATGAGCTGATGGAGATCTTCATTTTGGAATGTTTCGATCATAGATTCCACTAATAGGATACGGCGACCCAAATTGTAATCCAACAAAGCTAGCAGCGATATGCAAGCAAACGTTTAGGTAACTTAAAAATATTTGGGGAAACATAGCTTTTTCACATTTTGAACTATTTTACATGAAATAAATTTTTCAGGAGCCCTTGACCTAGCAACTATTGATGTCTAGACAATTTAGCTTCCTCCAAAATAGATAGGGCAACTTCACCTGCCATGATCTGCGGTGGTTTTAATAATATTTTCTATGCTGTTCTGTATTTCTGGGCCCATGTCGAACTTGCACTCATTTCTTTGAATAATTTCGAAGATTGTATCTGCCTTTCAGCTCTCATGTTTGGATGGCAAAGTTAAAATACTAGTTGACGTAAAATTTAGTAACTCTTTAGTTTTTTACGTATTGTATAACTGGATTCAAAGAAAATTTTCGGTCGACCAGTTTTCTTGTTTCAATTCTGTGAAAATGAAACGTAACAGTCAAGCCAATTTTCATTGGGAGTTTTCTTCAAATTTTTCATTTATTCTAAGAGCCTTCATCTATTGCAACTTCAATTTTGACTCCAGATGACTTACTTTTGCTTTAATTCACACATGTTCTGGAGCACATTTTGTCTTGAGTTTTTCAGTCAAAAAATATTTTTTTGTATTTTTTGCTTTAGAAATTTTCATGGTGTCTAGAAGTTCTGTCCTCTTAATATGAATTGTTTTTAAACTCGTACCGGCAATAAAAACTATTCTAAGAGCATTCCTTCACGATACGAGATATTTCACTTTCCCGTCATTTCTGTAAAAATTCATTTTAGGGAAGAAAGAAGCAAACAGTTGCAAGAACTAACGGTGCTAGAACAGAACATACTTTCTTGCATTATTCCTAAATTTTCAATTTTCGGAAATTCGGAGAGTTCAAAGGAAATGAGACCCGTACCATTCTTTTAAGCATCCCTTCTATCCGTGGACAATTTTTGAAGAAAACATTTCGAGCGGTATTTGAGAATGTTTTTATAAATTGCATTAATTTCAAGCCCAAATTAAGCGAAAACTACTCTAAAAAAACTGTACACGACGTTTTTTGAAGAGCTGAATTTTTGGAACTATCTTTGTTGTAGGCAAAAATCTCTATCTTCAAATTTTGTAGTTTTAAAATGTTAACGTTTTGTATTTCTCGAAACTACAGAGAGTTCGCCGAAAATGGGATTAACACCAATTTTTTACTGCTCCTTGACACAGACGAGGAGAAAATTTAAAGAAAAAAATTGGAGCAGTTTTTTAGAAAAAACATTTTAATTGCCTATATTTTACGAAAAAAAACGCAAAAACTATTCATATTTTCGAAATATTATACGTGACCTCATTTCAAGATTGGTATATAAACAATAGATTTTATTAAGAAAAAACTCTATGTTCAATATTGTAGTTTATGAAGATGTCGAAAAATCTTTGAGCTTTTGCAATTTTACGAAAAACTGAAAATTTCCACGAAAATGAGACCTGTACCTTTCTTTTAAATGTACTTTACGTCATTCGAAGACAAAGTTTAATACAAACATTTGGTGCGATTTTTGAAAAAATTTTGAAAATATTTTTGAGACTTCCAGCAAAGTGCCCTCGTATATCAAAATATACGCTTTGAATCCCCAAAGCTTTTAGTTAGTTCAGATCGATTCGGGACTATCAGTTTCGGAGAAAATTGACTGAACAATTTAGACGCTAGCGTTGATCACAGATGAACAACCACACCGACGTTTTGTCGCCAATCTATTTTTCGGCATCAAGGATTCACAAAGTATGAATTCTGGCTACACGTCGTGCTAGAGGAAGTAATTGAGTATATATAGCAACAGGATTTATCCACTTTTTTGTTACCAGGGCCCGGAAATAATAGTTTTTCTGCCGAAAATTCACTGTTTTCCATTTACGATTACATAACTTTCTCTTCAAATTTCACTTTTTCTCTGCATATTTTATTCTAATTAACATACTTTGAATGTTTTAATTTATGTGCACATTAAGACCTCTCACATTAATTCATCAATATGCTAAAGTAGCCCCCCAAACAAAAATGTCCTATTATAGAGTGCATTTAGTAAGTCCCTCCCAAAAGTTTAAAAAATTAGAGCATTTTTGAGAAATTTTGTTTTTGTAATATTTTCAAATTGCACAGATTGCACGCAGTATTTTTCAAAACCTACTAAAAGTTTCAAAAATGTACAGCACATTATTGAATTAAATATGGAAAACAAACTTTATTTGAAGGGAAAATCTTTATCTTCAGTTTTGTAGTTATGGCAAGACGTGGGAAAATAGTCAAACTTTTGCAGTTTTTGACAATTCAGTGTAAACCGTGAAAATTGGACCTATGCCACCTTGATAAGAGTATTTTACTGTATTCTTAACGTGAATTCAACCTCTGCAAGTATTAAAACCATTGGTATTTAATAGTGTTTTATTTACAATGACCTTAAGAATTCAAAAATACATTAGAGAGACCAGTAGTAATTTCGAAAAACTTCAGAATAAAAAGATATTTTGTGAAATGGTATAATCTCATGACTGTTATTATTCGCTCGAGAGAAATTATTTATAAAGCAAATTTGCAAAAAAAATTATGACCTTCAAATTTGTTCTATTTCTGCGCTGATCAAGAATTATAAAGTTATTATGCAAAAACCAAAAAACGCTCAAAATGTTTTTGATTTTTTAGCTACCAAAACGTGTCCCGAAGTATTTCGAGGAGGAAAACTTAGGGTTTTCTTACTAATAACAATATAAATAAAATTAAAATAAATCTCTTCTTTTGCAATGTGGACCCCCTTATGGCTTCCCATCGCGTGCACTAATACTGATAGAAACAGTCTCTTATACGTGCGCTATTGTTCGCGGTCTGACTTGTCAGTTATCATCAATCGGAACGTGTTATTATATTATGACGGTCCCCACACGAAGGTCGCTCTGGGGCCCCTCGAAAGGGTTAATTCGACCCTGGTATTGAAAACTATCTATGACTCCTCTTAGTTAAAAATGTTTGAATCATTTCCAGTTCAAATATTCCTAATAGTTGTCTACTGGTAACAAACTTCCATTTTCTAGAATACTTTCGATTTCATTTCAGTATGCATAATACATTTTATTTTTAGGAGCCCCAGAACTCGTTTTTCTCGTATTTCTTTGCCCTAGAAAATCATGAAGCGATGTATCTTGAATAAGCGCTGGGCACTGAATCCGGACGAAACTCTAACACTCGCATTATAGGAGGCAAGTCGATAACCCTGACTTCCGACATCGTTTTTCTACTGTACCAGATGTTACAGGAAAAGAAGGCAATGTTAATACAAAGAATTAAACATTAGATCAATTTCTTTTGCGCCGTCACATTTGAACCCCCCGCCCACAATTTCCTCAGGCTTTGAAGCTCAGACACAGGGCATATCGCGGAAATACCTTTCTTAACCATTTTTTTAAATATTCGGTTTATGGGTTTTTACAATTTGTAAATGAAAGTGGTCTCAAAGGCAGAAATTAAGAATATTGCCATCAAGATGTAGGTCGGTGGTTGGGAGAGAGTAATCTGTTAACAGAGTTTCTATTTACATGCAATATAAGGGTTTCCAAGAAAGAAAAAAAAGTGATAGGGTGGTCTTTAAGAATGGTTTCAATTCAGTTGAGATTACAAATCAGAGCAGGCGTACCGAAAAAAATCAATTATATATTTATATTTATTTCAGATTTGACGCAGTTCAAAGATTACTAATTTTAAGTATGTATTTCAAGAATGCGTGTGTAAATTAGGACTCTCACGATTCTGAATAAAGTTCCGTTTTAGAAAATGATCTAAAATTCATGTTTTGAATATACCGCCTTTTGTACTACCAACACATAACGCACGTTGGCACACTGAGCAAGTAGTTCGCATTCTTTCGCGTCACAAATATGCGCGCTAAGGCGGTATTGTTCAACAGGACAGAAAGAATGTCAATTTTTGATCAATGTCAATTTACCTTAACATTTTCCAATATTCGAATAATAATGTGATACGAATTATAGTTGTGGACCATCATACGTGCCTTTGTGAAAATGTATAACCTAACTATAGTGTATTTGTAGATATAATGTTATTTTTTTAATGTTATTGTGTTTGTGAAAACCAGAAAGGCCACTGGATTCCACAAAATGGATTCTTCAAAGAAGAGGTCACCTGATTACACTGACATAGCCTACAGGGAAGCAGTAGCACGTCTTCGCTACCTCTTAGCTGAATCATATTCTCCTCAGGCAACACCAACGAAGATCCCTCATGTACAGTAAATTGTATTGTACAATTAAATTATTTGTAGACCTTAAGTCATACTTTTTAGTAGTCAGTTGCATGACACAAAAGAGTGAAAGCATTTTTAATTTCAGTGATTATTTGAATTAATGTATTTTATTCCATTGTCAAATCAGTGAAAAATATCTGTTGATGCATCAGTAAATTATTTGGAACATTGAGTACCAGGAAAAGCAGTTTCAGCTGATTTATCAAAATATATTGTTTAATTTAGTGAGATGGTAATTTAAATAGTTTTGCAATTGCCTAAAAAGTAATATTTTGCTAGACATTTAATTAAAAAAAAATGCTTGTTTAAATATCTAGTAATTGCATTTTATAAAGTATGAAAATATATTACCAATTAAGAAATTATTAATTTATTCAATCACACAAACCATTGTGAAAATGGAAAAGCTCATGTAATAATGTTTTGTGTTCTATATTTTTAAATAATATTGTAAGCACACATGTCAATAAAATTTTTAAAAAAATCTAATTTGCAGGTCCGTTCCAATAAGCCTGAAGATAGTGGAGATGAGACTGATGCATCAATGGCCGTCAGCGATCGTTCACGCCCTCGCCATCACCACCATGTTCATCCTCCACCTTCTCCCTATCGTTCCCCATATTTTGGAGCAAAGCGCTCCCTTTACACTGATATTGTTCCTAAAACCACCCAGTTAACTAGTACCTTGCAGGTGCCAAAAATTGTTGATGGAGCTGGTAGTGCAGTGACAAATTCCAAGACAGATGGCCAACAACCCCCACCAGAGCTAATGGCCTTCATTGAACGACAAGAAGATTACATTGAACAATTGGAGAAGGAGTCACAGTATTGTAGGGTATGAATGCTTCATATAGTTTCTCCTGAGAATATGGTCTTCTTTGAATTAGACACTGTACAGCTTACTACATATAATTCTGAGCCCTTATCATCTCATTAGGGAAATATGTCCAAAATTTGCTTTTTTCATTTTGTGTAAAAAATGTGAATCAGTATGAATTGTATCTAAAGTCATGAGTCTTTCAAAATAGCCCTAAATCCAATAACTTTATCGACAGCTATTTAATTAGTATTTTAACTGTTTGAAAGCTAATATCTTTGAAAACACAACATACACGATAATGCTGTAAGTTTGTGTTCCTGGCAAGTAATTGTTTAAGCTTATTATATCTATTTATAGCTATAATATTTATATTTTAAGTTTTGGCTCATACTTTAAAACAAATAGTAAATTAAGATGTTTAAATTTAAAAACAAAAGTATTTGGACTAATAAATTTACAGAGCAACTCAAAGTGAACTGAAAAAAGTTCTGATAATATATTGGAACTTCTGAACTTTTTTCAAATACCTTTTCTTTTATTGTAATATGTATGTGCATAATATGAATATGACATAATACGTATGTGCATTATAAACTTGAAATTGAATTTTAGGGTACTATTACCAGTGGTGGCTATTGCGCCAGTTCTGGTTACTTCAGGCACCAAATTTGAAAAATATGAATTGGATATTTCCTATTTGCTTCAAACTTGCAGAATATGAACTTTATTCTTTCTAGTGTAGAAAGAAGATAATTTATTTCTTTTCTCTTATTTTATTTATTTTTTATTTTACCTTATTATTTTATACAAAAAAAAACAACAAAAAATAAAATGATGAAGTAATAATCTCACATAAACTGGCACGTATTTGAGTTAAAGTTCATGTTCAAATATGTTCAGAGTGTCCATTACTGGGTGAAGTATCTCATAATTACCAAAAGGTTGCAATATTCACTTGGCCATGACTGATCAAAATTGGGGTTTGGAAATATATTCACAAAAATAGAACAAGTTGAAAATTGGCCATTTCTAGATGAGGGATCTATTTAGGAGGAAGTTACTAATCATCTATTGAGATTCACATTTCAAATTTAGTATTGTAACCCAAGAATTTAAAAAAAACACTACAAAAACATTTTTAACTATGGCCACTGCATTTTCCCTATATTACAATTTTATGTTACAGGAAGAACTGACAAATTTATTAAGTAAAGTGAAAGACATTATCTCTGAGAATGAAGGGTTACACGAGAAAGAAAAATCTGGAATACTGAAATCTGTTTTCGAATACTTGACAAGTGGTGGAGAAGAAGAAGAGGAAGATGATGATGAAGATGAAGTCGAAGAAAAAGTAATTTTTTTGTTTATGTTCATATGCTTATCATTTTATTAATGTGTCTTGTGACAATGTAATATACATGGTTATAAATAATTTCAGCGCGACAGGAAAAAATCTCCAACTAAAAAGAAGCGTTTGGAAGGGCCATCGATAGTGTTTGAATCCCGCATAAGTGAATTGGAAGCTCAGCTTACTCAGACTAAAATTGAACTCCGCAAAGCTCAAGAGGAAGCAGAAATGTTAAAAAAGAAGTACGGTGGTTTAGAACCAGGGGCAGTGATGGATTCAGCTACATCACCTGGCATTGAGTCCTATAAGAAGCAGATAGATGCTTTGCAAAGGTAACTATGAACAGAAATTGAAAGCTCCAACAGTAACACAAAGCTCCCAACAGAAAAGCAGCAGTTTATATAAAAATTACTGAATAAATTATTTTTGCAAGAGCTCTAAAATTCAACTAATCAAAATCTTTATTAATTTTTACTTTCTTGCGTACTTCTAAATCAGTATAGTGAAAGTATTCTGTACTTAGATTTAAACATAACTGCCCCTGTTGTAAATTGGCTATTGTGGTGTCATCCAATTGGGAAGTTGAACATCACTGTAGTGATGTGTAAGCTCCCAATTGGATGATACTGTAACAGCTTAAGACCTGCCAGCTGTTAATAAATCAGTGCAGTTCTAAATAAATCAAAGTAAAATGCTGCGACACAAAACAGCAATTTTCCAACAGAAAACTCACATTGTGGGCCCCTGATACCAAAGGAGAGGATAAATCTTGTTCCAATATGTAGTAACTCCCTCTTAAATGCTGTGTTGAAAGAATCCACATTTTGTGGATCTTTGATACCTAAAAATTGATAGATGGTGGCAAAACATCTGACCATCTGCCTCCCCATTGTCCATGTGTCTGTCTGTCCATCGGTTAGCTAAACCATAAAAAGGATTTTCATCAAAACAGATTTTCAACAACATTGAACAACAAAACTGATTGACATTGCTGACATTGTGACCCCTTGAATTTGAAATTTATGGATATTTCGATTTTGGGGATATTTTACATAAGCTTCAACATTTTCAAAAATTTCTTTCTCTACATTTGTGTTGAATGGTGCGAAGTATGTGTATATAAATATCGCAGGTCTCATTTTCATTAAAATTTTTGACTTTTTGAAAATTGTAAAAGTTCAAAATTTTGTGTGGCATCTTCATATATCTTTAGGTACAATATTGAAGATAGACATTTTTTCTTCAAATGAAATTTGTTCTGTAAAATTAGTTCTTTTCTTAATGCCAAGTACATTTTTTCAAAATATTAGTTGTGCAATTTGGAGTAAAATATGGTCAATATTAGAAACAACTTTATATAGGTATCTACTACATTTTTACATACACTTAGTTGATAATACCTAGAGTTCATGTTAACTCAGAAGATAAGTGCCATGAAATGTGAGAGTGAAAATAAAATGTAATGTTGTCATTTAGACATACTGCTTGTCTCTCCCCTGTTTTCTTAATGAGCCCATTTTTAGATTATGACCAAAGGAATATAATTTTATTTCTCCAAACACTGATTATATTACTGTTATGGTAAATACACTGTTTACTAATACATAAAAAAATGCAATTTTAGAGTTCAATTAAATTATTATACAAATTATGAATATGTTTCAAACACAAAGAATCATTTCAAATGCACAGGGCTGTGAGTTCCTTTAAATCAATCTGAGAATATCTATTTTAGAGAAAATGCACTGAATGCTTTAAGTGCTAGCATTGACCCTAGGCAGAAGGGCAGACAGTCATGTAGCCGTTAATCGATTTTTCAATACCGAAGACCCACAAAACATGAATTCTGACTACTTATGTTAGAGGAGGTACTTTTCTCTACAAAGAAACAAGATTTATCCACTCTTCCTTACCAGGGCTCGACAATAAAAGTTTTTCTGTCAAAAATTCGCCGTTTTCCAGCGCACAATCACAATACTTATCTTCTTGCGATTTAAGGGTGAGAAAGTAAAAAGTGAAAGGCGTATAAAATAGTAGTTGATATGTGAAAATTGTAGAAATTACTAGATGCAGTTTTACATTGGGGATCTAGAAATTATACTTAAAATAGAAACTGGGTAAGAATTAGTGTGGTGATAAAGCTTGGTTGTTACAGTAATTGAGAAGCTATCTTAATTTTTTGATAGTGTTGAAGTTTTACTGCAGTCAAGAAAAACAGTATTACAGGGATGGGGAATCAATATTATGAACATGTATGACAATCAATAGTTTATCAATTTGTTTCGAATAATGTTATTTTTATGGTAACTTATTCATGTGCTTTTTAAAGAGTAATATTTCACAACCCAGGGGTAATGCAATTCTTTGGCGATAAAGTGTCTTTCTCAAAGTCCCCCAGGTACAGAAGAAGTAGAGGGAAGAGATGTTGAAGTTGGGGCTGACACAGTATTTTTTCTATGCATTATGCTGATTATGCATTCTAAATAAGGAGCAAATACTCTAATTGTTGAGAAATATTTTTCCAAACAAATCACGTCTGTATTTTTGTTTTATATACAGAGATGAAATGATATGATGACCCATCAAAAATGCTTTCATCTTCAGTTGACTCCGGTTGTAGTGAACTTCTGGGGACTAACATTTTTGTTTCACTAAATACAATGTCAAAATTAAATAGAATTTCTCCACAACAATTGATTTCATAAATAGTGATATAGCACAATACATTAACAGCACAAACTGAAAGTTTCAATATCTTTATTTGTCCTTAAAAAAACAATTATTTTTAATTGTTTGCTTCTACTTTTTCATCAGTAATTTTTCTAGATCCTTCTCGAGAGTTGTGCTCTCTCCATACTTGATTCTGCGTAGTCTTCTGTGTCTAAGTATCGTAATGCAATCTTGATACCCTTTAATGCCTCTTGCGCTGTTAGAACACTCTTTGAAGGCCATGTTACTCACCTAATAACATACGAGATGCTTTCAGTAGCCTAAATACAACTCCACACGCTTTCTCCTGCAGAATATTAAGATTGAAACTGAAGCAAGCAACTGTGTGTCGCCACCACCAGTTGTAGCCCACACAGGACGTAGCCTTTGTTTCTGCAGAGAAATTGAGTCATCTGTAAGATCTAGGTCCATTACCTTCACTTTAGGGAAGACTTCTTCGATTATGACTTTCGGCCAATGATATATTTTTCAATCTGCCTAGTGTTGGAATTTGTTTCACTGAGGCAATATATTCTTTTCTAGGAGGGAATTAATTTTCTGGATGTTGTATTTTGTACATTCACTATAGCCGAGGTTCAGGTTCACTATAACCGAATGTTCTTGTGTTTATTTGTAATGTAAGTGAAAGTGAATTAAGTTCACTCTATCCAAGTTCACTATAACCGAAGTCGACTGTATTTATTCTTTAATTTTTTACTGATATGTTTTTGCTCGTTATTGCCTTTGATAAGGAGCGCGATATACACTGCTTCAAGTGGTTCATGGTTACAAGGGAAATATCAAAACAGTTGAATGATGTTTCTTGTTCTCTCATGGAGGGAATTATAAAAGGGAAAATTTGAAAAGAGTCTAGTTTAGTTCATTCGTAAATACATAAATCTGAATCATTAAAATAATTTAAAAAATAAAATCTCTTATATACAACGGGTGTTAACTGGTTCTAATGATCTCGGATACCAAACTGCCTTCAGGCCTTGTGTTGCTGCTCAATCATTAGAACCATTATAATGCCTTTGGTGAATAAATAACTAGTTATCCTTAAATTTTTCATCCTCAGGGAAAAGGAAGAACTAGCAGATAATCTTGCAAAGTTGAGCTCTGCAGTATCTCATATGCGAGATAAAGAAGCAGATGCCAGCCAAAAAGTTAAGAGGAGTTTTGATATGGTTGATCAAGCCCAGTTTGAGAAAGCTCAGGTGAGTTTATCAGTTACTTCCATCAAGTTGATTAAAAAGTGAGGAATTTGTGAAGTTCATGTGGCTATGATGGTGTAAAGGTTAGCATATCGGACTGTTATACCCAAGTTTGTGGGTTCAAACCGATCAAAGCTGTGGATTTTTAAGGCAAAGAAATCCTTCGTATGCCTTCCTTCAAAGGGGAAGTAAAGCCAGGTGTGCCATGTTAGTAGATTTACTGCATGTAAAAGATCCTCAAGCCTAAATGATGTCTCTGAGCTAAATTCAAATCGTCTGTTTCATCACCCAAGAAATATCTCCTTTTTCTGCTAGTTGGAGAAAGGAGTGTAGCAAAATTTGCTTTGGTCAGACGGAAGAGCAGGTCTCATGACCTGAGTCTCAAAACATAAAATAAAGTAACAATTAAATTAAATTCACTTCAATGCACTTCAATTCAAGTTCTCAAAAAACAGACTGCAGCCAAACTACTACTATACATTTATGGAGAAAATACGTGTTCATTAAATATTTTCAAAGATTCTTATACAGCTACCAAAGTCATCATCACATCCCTTAATCCTTGAAATATATGATAGTGACATTGCTACTTGAACAAGAATCTCTTTCTCAATAAATGATGAGAAATATTTTGACAATTAGTACCTTTAAGAATTCCAGTCTCTAATTATCAAAATAAGTTCCACTTGCAGTTTTCTTGACTTATCAAATAATGTTCAACATTTTTTTCTTTATAGAATCTAATTGAACTAGTGGTCTTTTAACAGCACATTCTTTCTCACATTCTTTCTAAATTTTCAAAAATTCTGAGATTGGAACGAGAATGAGACCTGTGCCATTCTTTTAAATGTTCCTGGTGTTCCTGAGGGGCAAAAATTAAGAAAAAATTTGAAGCTGTTTTTGAGAAAAATGTATATTTTATAAATTTCATAAATTGCAAGCACAAATTACGCAAAAACTACTCTTTTTTAAGGCGCTAATTTTTTAGAACAGATTTTGTTGAAGGTAGAAATCTCTTCAATTTTGTAATTTTCAAATGTTAAAATTTTGCAATTTTCAGAAATATGGAGAGTTCACTAGAAATGAGGCTAACACTACTTTTTTACTGCCCTTTGATACATATAAGTAGAAAATTAAAAGAAAAAATAAAGTAGTTTTTGGGAGGGGGAAATGTGGAAAAAAGAATTAAAAATAAAAATTTCATGTAATTCACGGAAAATTAACTACTCATATTTTCAAAATATTTTACCTGACATTATTTCGAGATTGGTCTTTAAAGAATATATTTTATTAAAGAAAAAAATCTTGATCGTCAATACTGTAGTTTTAGGAAGGCTAGAAAAATAAATTTGAATTTGCAAAAAATTTGATTTGAACAAAAATTAAACCTGCACTATCCTCTTAATCATCCTGTAGGCTATTGGTGAATCAAGTTCAAAAAATTAGTGACCAAAATAAATTTATTGGTTAAGCTACACTTTTTATCGTGAGAGTATCCTCTTATATTAAAAGTAATTTTTCTTTATTTTTTCATGAAATATTACTATTAAATTAGAAATATTCAAAAATACTCTGAATGTTTTCAAATTCAGTCCAATTGTGAAAGATCCATTGATCTCTTTTGCACATTTTACAGGCTTATTTATAGTTACCTGTATTGCATTGAAAACTAGTTTCTAAAATTAATTAATGATGCAAGACTTTATTAGATACCAGGTTGAAAATAGGAAATTCTCTCCAGTGGAGGATGTTCAAATCTGGAGGGGGGTTGAAAGAATTAACTAGTAAAACATAAACTCTCTTTGCATACGCAGCATAGTCTAAACGAATCATCAGAAGGCTCTTGGAAAAATTTTCTTTTCCTTGATCTGAACACATAAATTGCATCTTTTCCAGCAAGGGATATCAGACTGTAGTGTAAAGATCCTGGATATCTTTTCCATCAATTCGCACCTGCACTGATTTGTGCTGTGGACATCAAAACCGTCATGACTGAACTTTTGCGAACATAAAAATTTTAAGAATCATCTCTGGAGTGCACAATTTAAAAAATGGTCATAAGGTTTTCGTCCTGGATCTGTAAAAAATTAATGACTTCTATTACTAAGATGTGATAAACTCATTATTTTATTTTTGGGTTCATAGGTTTCAAATTTGCCATTAAAATGTATTAACAAGACATTAATTTCATTTCAATATAATTGAAATACATAAGAATAAAAAAATCTTAATTTTTCTATTAAAAAAGTCAAACATGGTAAGTACCATGTTCAGTTAGGGCAGACCTAGCGCTTACAGCTATCATTGCCTGCTCGCAGGCTGAGCTGGAGGTGCGTCGTCTCAAGGACGAACTGGAGAGGCAGCACGAGAAACTGCGCGATCTGCTGCAGGAACAAGGTCGTCGCGTGCAGGACGAGCGCACCCAAGCTGAGCGCCGCTATGCTCAACAGGTGGAGCAGTTAACTTGTGACCTGAGTGCACAATGGGACACAGCCGGCAAGCTGCAACTTGAACTAGAGAAGCAAAGGCGCACGGAGAGTGAGCTGCGACGCGAACTCCAACAGAAGTCTGCGATTATTGAAGAACTCAAGAAGGAACTGCAAACCAAGATAGGTAGTGGACGCAGAGTAAGGGTAGAAGAACCCAACTCCTAAAATGGTTGATAAACTAAATTTACTTCTTTTCTTGTCAATCAGTGTAAGATGAGGTCTTCAAATTTTAATGAAGTTGCATGAGTTTGGAAAAAATTGTTCTGTATTTCTGCAGATGAAAAATAATGTTCAAATTATGTTATTAATTTCTTGAAATTGCAATACTTCAGTTTATCCTTTTTAATTAATTTTTTGTCTTCAGTTTATCATTAATAATGTTGAAAAACTAAAGAATTTATTGTTAAGTGGTTTTTAAGAGTACATCTTACACTAGATTGAAAATCTTCATTTGCATTTGCATTTGCATTTATCAGGGCTTGTTCCGCACTTCTTACTTCTGTGTGTATTAGTCAGAAGTCTTGAACATATTCAAACAGTCCATTACCCAAACACTGCCAGTCATACCAAATTGCTTGTGGAAACAAGCTATTTCATAATCCAAGCAGTCTTATAGTAATTTGTTATCTCATTAATTATTTGTTAAGCTGGATATTGATTTTTAATTAAATTTAAAAGTATGTGGAAAGTAGTGACCTGAAACTGTTTTGTAAATTTTTGAATTCTTGAAATCAGCCTTGGATTTTGTGAATAGTTTATTTTAAATATGGATATCCATTAAAAATTATACATTCTGTATGTTTGCAAATCAGCCAAAATTTTAATATTTTATTATATTAGACAAAAAATATGATATTTCTGTATTTGAGCAAAATTGCTATGTAAATGTGTATGGGTGTTAATGGTTCTCAGTTTTAATTACATAGTTCAGATAATGTGTTGTCATAGAGTTGTGTATAAAACTTTTTGATATTATCACAGAACTAAGATATTTTGTCTGTACATACTGAATACAAAAGTGCACTTATTAAAATAGAAGGTAGGAAAGTATTTTTCAAAATATTAACTGTATTAATATTACCAAGTACATCATTATACTGATTATGCCATCCTTTCCATATATTTGAGATTGACTTCAAATGTTTAGCATGTTTTGTTGGCAAATTTGAGGAACAATTATATTAGATGACAGTTTCTTGTAAATAATTTCATTAACACTTATTTTTTAACAAGTTGCAATTTCAACTGAGAACCAATTTTTCACCTGCTTCTCTGACTTTTATTGAAATGTACCTCACCTGATTTTTGTGTATATTTAACTTTATTGTGGTGATTCTTCGTATCAGGGATATATATTACCACCTCTGGATATATTGTCCACCCTTTTGTAATGTTTATTACATTTTTATAGGAAGTGACGATTATCAAGACAGTTTCTCTTACTGCAATGTATTATTTTGAAGTGTGCTTCATGTTATTCTAAGGAAATAGCAGCATTTGAAGCAACAGATAGACAGGCAATCCATTTTTATCCTTTGGTGGACAAAATTATTTTTTGTCTTTCACTTTTAAGGATATGCATTTCCTCTTTGCATTGCATTGTTGGTTTCATTTTACTGGTTAACATGAATAAATGCAAGCTAATTCTTGTAACTTTTTTCTCTTTTAACCTTTTTTCCTTCTTTATAAATATATCTGGTGAGTAGATCTTCAAGTAGCTCAGAGAAGCCTGGTCACATTTACAAGTGCTTATATAAACATCCATTAACACTTTATTCTTGGAAATGAAATTCACAAAGTCTAGATGGCTGGCATTTTGTTTTGTTTTCTTCTTTAATGGATTTGTTTAACATTTGTTCACTTTGTATTATTCTGTTTCTTAAATCCCAAATATTAACTCTGTGGATCTGCTTAATGACTTTAATTTTTAACAGATTTTGTTTATTTTAATTTTTATGATTTGTAAGTCTCTAAAATTCGTACTGTTTGGTTTGGTGTATTTCTCCATTTTGTTTCGTTCAGTAATTATCATATGGTTCTTATTTTTCAGAAAACTTTTTTATTTAATTTGTGATTTGTGATTTTAACAGTGTATTCACACAACATAAATGTATTTTACTTTCATGCATGGAATACTAGAATGACTCCATAAACCCTAACAAACAAACAAAAACAAACAAAAGCTACAATTTTTGCAGTATTTTCAAAGTGCATTTGAATTAAAATGGTTTTTAAAACAATTCACAAACATTGACAAAGAAAATATCTACCTTTTTTTTATAGATCTTCTGTAATACCTAACACAAAAATACTTTACCAAATCATGTCACACATTACACCAACAGAAAATTTATTGGAAATACACTGTCTCAGAAGCAATATGAATTAATCTTATTGGATGGATCTAAATTGAAGGTATATTTGGTACTCACTGACTTATGATTTTGTGTAAATTTCAGATGTGTAGTACCATGGGTGAGGGTCATGTAATATTTTATTGAGTTTAAGTTTTCTTAAAGAAAAATATGATAACGGTATAAATATGTAGTTTATTCAACATTTTTTAGTTGGAATTGATCAACGTTTGAAATGTTGCTGTGTGAAAACTCTTTTGGAATTTTTAGAAATGAATTCATCCATCAGTTTCACAATATTGATCTTGCACTAACTCTAGATATGAATGCAAGATCGCTATAAGATTAAGTTGATTTTGCAACGCGTCGCGTCGTTTGTCGAGCACAAGTAATTTTTTACCCGTTGTAGCCCAGACAAGCTTCTCTCGTTCAAGCACAATGATCTTGGAATGGTCATAAGTAAACAAATAAAGTACAAATACTCAGAAACCACTCATTTTCACACGTAAAATCCACGATCTCATGCAAAATTGCTGGATTATACCTTTTCTTTTGAGGATGCTTAAGGCTATGTCCTTAACTCTGTCTTGTCAATACACATCAAAATTGAAGTTTGAACATTGAATAATGTTTTTGGTCAATATTGAAAATAATTTTTTCTACCACGGTGATGGTGGTAATAAATGTGTTAAATTCAAGTTTTTCCAATTTTTACCAAAATTCCAGGTGGGTACCTGCCTAGAATATTTTTGCATGGGTAGTACCACATACCATACTCCACTCCCAGCCCTGATCATGAGTATGCATGGTGTGGCAGCTATTGCTTATGAAGATTTTAAAATTTGATGTGTTGTTCAGTTATGGCTAAAAAAAAATAGAAAAGAAATGAAAAATCATATTTAGAAACAATTCCTGGGAATCAAATTAATAACCTCATTCAATGGAAAAACAAATTTAGAGGAAGCTAATTGTCAACTTCATGAGTCATTACTATAGACAGGCTGAATAGTCAGGCATTCTGATACCCTAGCAAAGTAAGGGGTCCCAAATTTATTTACAAAACAATGTTGTTGCAAACCATACTTCTTTATCAATTCAATTCATACTATTAGATTTTTGGGTCATGCTTTCAATGCAGGAGGACCAATCTTGTTGATTGTGGGTCTTTCTAAAGCTTTGTGAAAGCGTTGTGCTCAATAAATATGACTTTTGTGGGCTTATTGGATTTTTGTGAGTGTATTGGCATGTAAATTAGTTAGTTTTGAACATGGAGCTGAAGACTAATTCTCATAAATTAATCAAATCTCTTTACTGTCAAGGGCCATACATTTTTTATCCATTATCATTGAAGAATTTTCTTATAATGTAAAGAAAGAAAGTTTAAATTAAAATAACTAATTTGAGTGAATACACGAAGTTAAAAACACATCTTGCATTGTTTCACAAGATTTTGTCAAGGAGACAAAGAAATTATCATTGTGATATATTAAGAATTATATATAAATTTTCATCTTATTTTATCACATTTGATATTGCATGTTCATTTCAGACTTTATTTGACTTGAGCTTTAAATTACTTTTATTTTCCATTAGTTGAGACTAGATTAAATGGCTCATTATTGAATCCAATATAATAAAGCTTCTTAAAATTGATAAAAGGGCTTATTGTTATATCTGATATCTTTTAGAGTACTGCCCAAGACATTATAATACCATTAATCATTGAGGCATACAGTTTAAAAACATGTTTGGGCAAGGTAAAAAATTGAATATTACACTAATAGAACATGATGTGCTCATCAGTATTTATACAAGCTCATGAATAATCAACTAACTTGCACATAATGGTATCTTTTACATGTTTGTAAGATAAATAACTAATATTTTCACTGGAGAATAAACTCTTTGTTTAAGTTGCCAAGTACAACAACATAAATGATGGTGTACACCGCAGTAATGGATAAGGATATTAACATTTTTTATGAATTACTTTTCATAATTTTCTCACTAGAGATAAACAACTTAGCTAAAACTATGTAAGGGTTTCTGGAAAATCCAAAATCAAGAAATTTAGATGTAAAGCTCGGCAATGTCTTTGGTGCTCTGCAGCAGGCCTCCAGAGTGAAGCTACGCAGTCAGCTGCAGAGCGAGGGTCCCTTGAGCAGGAACTTGCTGCAAGTCGTTTGGTGACTGAAAGAGCAGAGCGAGAGGCTCGCCAAGAGTCCGCGCGACTTCAGGCTGAAATAACAGCTCTGCGCCAGCGACTCGATCGTGCTGATGCAGATCTTCTTCATAGCCGCAGAGAAAATTTACGTCTCTCTGAGCAAATTGCATCTTTGGAGAGAGAGGTAAAGTGTTTGGATGTTTAACATTTGTGTTATTTTGCTTCATTTTTCATTACTTGAGTCCACTTGAGTTACATTGTGTATTATTAGAGCTTTGGAATATAAACAGTAAACATAAACATATTTTGAGTTGTTTTAGTAAATTAATTCAATGCAAATATTATTTTGGGCTAATTTGCACCATTCAACATTAAATACTCAAAAATTTAATTCATAAAATATAATTTGGAAAGAATGATGATGAAACAAAAAAAATTGGCAAATGGATAAGGATGCATTGATTCTCAAGGTCATCAAAACATCCACGGCACACAAAACTTTACCAGAACACGCTTTGGAAAGTCTTTAACAAAGTAGTATGACAAAACATTAATAAAATTTTATAAAGGGAGACCATTTAGGTTCTACAAAATAAACAGAACCCTTTCCATAATTTATCGTAAGAAAAAAAACTGGAGATTGGTTAATTGTGTGTATTATTGACTCTATTTAACATTTAACAAAGTTTTCAGTCTATGAAAAAAGCCATCGATAAATAATGTTGTTTCATTTATATTTTCTTGATGATCAGTTATAATTTGTACATACAAAAGAAGACTTAAAATGTGACTTATATAAGAAAAGAAGAAGATATGAAGTCTGTTCTTAGAAAAAAATTGTCCTGGAATGTAGGTTGCAGTAAAGACAACTTGATCTTGGGAACTGGAATGTTATATAAAATATCAAATGACAATAGACTGACAAGCTTTAAAGGTTAAAAGTTGTAAACAAAAGTGAATGAGCAATGCAAAAGAAGAAAGGAATATCATAGATGCTCTCAGCATGAATTTCTCCAAGAAAATGTAAAATAATATTTTTAAAACAATAGAGCAAAATAGTATATAGGGTGGAATTGTAGTAACAATCTGAATTACAGGAAGGCAAGTTGTTAGTAATGGAAGTGGGTTATTAGAGAAGAACTCATCGTATTTTATAATTTGATGATTAATGTAATTGCTAAAATAAACAGATATAATTGACAACTCAAACAGTTGTGATGGCATAAGTACATTCAAAGAATGGACAAAGTACATTACCAAAGGGCATGAAGAAAGATTGGGAAGAGTAAACTGAGGTTCATTGATGAGGGAAAAAAGGAGTAGTGAAATGAAAATAGCTTCCTGAAGGAGGAATAGAAAAATGAAAGAAGATTGTGTTCTATCAAAAATCAGAAAGATAAGATAAATATAAATAGTAATAGTAGCATTTGCTTTCATATATTTAAAGTTTTTATTGTCAATCTCAGCAAAAAAAAGAATGCAGGAAAGACCCAAATGTTTCGCCTAGTTGATTTGTAGACAAACAAATTTTTGGTTATCTGTTACATTTTTAAATTCATGTTGGAGAATTTTGAACTTAAGTTATCTTTATAAATTAGAATTATATTTTAATAGCCTGTATATCTATGTAATATTTGTATAATTTGGTTTGTATTTTAGTTGAACTTAGCAAAAATGATGAAGGAAAGTAGTGATAAGCCTTCAGGAGAAGGACCATCCTCTAATACGTCTCGAGAAAAGGAACTTACTTCTATGATTATGAATATGGAAGCAAAGCATGGTAAGTTTTATATTAACAAACTGTTTAATAAGAATGTGGTATGTTAAAGTTTAGTAAAAGTTCTTCCATCAATTTCATTCTATGTGTATTTAAAGTTAAATACAAGATTTCTATGTGCATGGTTTATTTTTAATTTATCAATGATTCTTGTTAGTTCTTTTGAATTGCAGCAAATAATTAGATATTTACTTTTAGCACACAATATATTTTAAAGTTATGCATGTCATGAAAGAAATTGATACAAACTATTTTTGTTATTTACTTGAATAAAAAATTATTAATAATTTTATTTTTCTAACTTTACTTTCATTTATTCAGAAAAAATGTTCCTCTCTATTGTAACTATTTAATTGAAAATTTGTGATTTTACTTGCTATTTGAGTACATTACTACATACAATGTTTCTCCTCTAAAGAAAAATGCAGTCAATAATATGTTACAACACAAAAAAAGGATGTAGAATATGTAATTAAAAAGATTTCTCATTGGTTCATGCCATTATTTATTTATTTATTGATTTATTAAGAAAAAGTTTCTAAGATGCTCAAGATATTGATGTGGCAGTGAAGATTCTGATAAATTGATGTGAAATACCTCATGAGAGACAGATGCAGGTATTTTAGTTTGTTGAAGAAAGGAATGTGTTTGTTTTACATCATTGTCCTTAAATTTTTTAATAAAATATTTTACAAGAGATTCAGAGGAGTTCCTCTCCTGTTTGGCTGAATTTCAGATAAAGACTGGAAGACAGAAATAGCCCCATGTATCGTTTTTATCTTTTCTTATTTTTCTTTCTTCTGCATACTGCTTTACAGGAGTGAAATCATCTTCCAAAAGTGTGTGTGTGTGTGTGGGGGATGTGCTTTTACTGTTCTGCATAAAAAAATGCAATCTTTTCAAGGCAACACAATTAAAAAACGTTTATGACCTAGACACATTACATATCTTTTACCATTTTTCTATTCGTTAATATGAGGCAAACACTACTCTCAAATATCAAATCAAAATTTAAAAAGGCACAAAAGCACGATTTTTCATTTTCTTGTAAATAAAAAGAAATTCATCAGATGGATCTTTCATTCCGGTGATGAGTCTCTTTTGGTAGCTGACTGACTCCAACATATTCTGACCTAGTCTACCTAATATTCCTTCCTAGTCTCTTGGGAGTACTGACTTAATCTTGGGAGGGATGGGACATGGTGAGATAAATGACAAAAAGAAGTACATCTAAGGGCTATTATTCGTACAAGTGGCTAGGAAAAGAGAGAGGGAGGCAGAGAGAGAACAATCCTGGAGATGGGGGAGAGGAGGAAGAACAAGAGATGAAGGAAGTAGAGTTAAATGTGATAAGCAGCTCACCATCTCCAAGATTGTGCTTGCAGGGCTGCTGCTGCCGTTGTAACTAACTCTCTCGGGTGGACTCGTGGCTCACGACTGCCAGAAGTAGCAAGAGCCAGCCGGCCTGTGGCATTTGCTTTTATACTTTCGGGGTTGTTGTGGAAGGGAAAGCAGTTTGAGTGACCATTGAAGAAAAATATTGAAAGGGTGACGTTTGGAGGGAAACCAAAGGGAAAAGGGGGCAGGGGCAAATCCAGAGATGATGGGGGAAGGGATTTGTGGGTATGTGTGTATGTGTATGTGTGTGTATAATATTTTTCATTCTATGATATAAATATCGATTTACAACATTCGTTTACATACAAATATTACTGGGCAGGGCTGAAGAAAGTCAACAGGATTTAACAAAATGTTTCAATCCTTTTCTACTTTCTCTTTTAATTAGATTTCCTTCTCTTTTCTTCTTATTCTTTTTAGATATTTTCTCTTCCTTTGGTACTTATGAACCATGCTGTCTCCAGGTGCATGTAAGCAATTCATGCCCTACACTTTGTTTCCGCCACACTGAAATTGCACAAAATGTCACAGCCTCCCACGATTACTCGCTTGGCACCAAGAGAAAGACCTTACTCCAACAACACTGTTTCTGGTTGCGTCGGCCACACTCCAATATGTGGAACTCACCGTAGGACCACTTGTCAAGTGGAGTATGAAGGAGATATGAGCTGTCACAAGCATCTGGAGAACAGTTGAAGACATTTTTCATACGTACCATTGGGCTAAAATACAAGAATCAGAATTCCCACTCATAACTCAAAAGCTGAGGACAGAAGATACCGTTATATTTTTGATACATTTTAGACGTTTCTACACTTGTTTCTCAGTTTTATTTTTCCTGCATTTTTAACATTTTAATTTTGTTTCTCTGGACTTTGTTCGGGGGACCATGGCACCCCTCGATCCGACACTGTGATTACATCAATAACATATCCCACAGCTTGAATTATCTGAATCTGAATTTGTTTTGATAGAAAAATTATGTTATTTTTCTTTGATTTAAGGACATTTTAAAAACATTTTAAGAGTATTTTATTGATCATTTTTGGTTATGTTTTAGGTCATCAAAACCCTTCCCTTAGTTATTATATTTTCCCAACCTAGTGATACTATATAAATGCCAGACTGTGAGTTGAGTGTGATCGGTACACTAAGATAGTATTTTATTCAAAATGTTTTCGTCGAATGTTTCATATTACCAGTTACATCGCACACTGATTTGCCGCAATGTACAAGTACATTTTGCTGCTTTCAAAAGGAATACTTCAATTACATACTTTTAACAGAAGAAAAGTTAAGTTTTTTAAAATAGTATTTACTAAAGTGTTATTATAGATTTATTAAATAGAAAAAAATATTTATGTAGAATATAAAATAAGGCACTTTTTGAACTTTCAAATTTTTAATGAAACTTTCTAAATTAATATTGTTGCAAATTTTGTTTTCTATCGGTATCATTGCCAGATCTATTAATACTTCTTGTGACATAGTTGATCGTAAGAAGTTTATAGACTAATAATTTTTAATTTTGAAAATGATTTTTCTTTGGTTGCTACTGTAACTGGCAAAATTTGTAATATCACGGTAATATTAGGAGATGGCCCAGTTAGTTTATTACTTTCTCACTCTTCAAAGTTCTTTTTTAATATACGAATTCTAATACTTCAATTGGTGATGATTTCTTGATTTGAGAAATTTTGTGGTTGTATTTAGTTCATCTGCAAGTTCTAATGCTTTTATATCTTTTGGACTATCTTTATCAGTTTCATCGGTCAGTTTAAATTATAGATCCATGCAATTTTGAATACGTCTGATTCACTAATTTCTGCTAGTTTGTTGAAGACAAATACAAAATTAAACACATCACTTTGCTCTTTATGCAATTGAAACCTTTTCTCTTTAGATAAAACTGTAGTGTCAATAATAGTCGTCTACTTGGAAATGCGGTTCATACGGTATGTGGAATCTATCTTTTGGATCATTTGTACAGTCATCATCATGTTCATAACCGATCATAGTTGGTTTTAGGGGGTAACCGATCATAGTAGGTGGGAGGGGGGATATGCATCTACATTGCATGAATTAGCAAGCTCAGTTACAATGCTTAGCATTTCATCAAAATTAATGCGAAGTCTGGTTGTTCCTTTTAAGAGACAGGATCCTTTGAGATGTGGGACCTGGCATACAAAATTGAATCAAAATCTGATATGGAATCGCAAGGTACTTTTCTAAAATTTGACTTAAATAACAATTTTTGTATATCCAGAGCTACTTTTAACTTCACATATTCAAAGAGAGCACCCTAAATCAGAAACGGTATGAGATATCAAAGACATTTCTGTGCCAAAACCATAACTCTCTCTTTGCCATCTTTAATGGCATCACAAGCTAAGCCCGACCAGATTGGGTGTCACCCTGAATTTTAACATATACTGTCGTCATTAAGAATCAAAAGAGTAAACACGTCCAAAAGTTTTTGCGTACTCGTGAGCCAGTACCACTGACACTGCTCGGAACAGTGCAACATAACTTCAATAAAACTTCTTCTTCTTGAGAGTGTTTTACAGCTCTTGTGGCAGTTTCTCGCATCCCAATCTCCATACCACTCTATCGTTCCAGTCATTCTCTTCTAGTCCTCTTCTCTGCATATCGTTAAAAATCTGTTTCTGCCATTCCTCTCTGGGTCTACCTCTTTTTCTTCTGTCTAAAGGAAACCACTCACATACCTTTCTGGGCCATCTCCCACAATCAAGCCTTTTCAGCCTTTGTGTTTCTAATTCATCTATTATTGATTTTTGAACCTTCATTCGCTTAAGAATTTCTTCGTTTCTAATATGTTCCATTTTAGATACTCCACAACTTCTTCTCAAAAAATCCATTTGTAAGCTCATTAATTTCTCTCTTTCTCTTTTTCTTAGTTCCCATGTTTCTGCACCATACAATGTTATACTTTGTATGATAGAGTCGAAAAGTCTTTTCTTGGTAGACTTGGATATTTCTTTTCCCCAGAGCAGCGAGTTTAACTTTCTAATAGCTTGCCGTCCTTGTGTAATATTTTAAGCAATATCATTTTTGGAATCTCCTTTGCTAATAATTTCACCCAAATATTTAAATTCATTGCATGCTTATATCTCATCTCCATTTATTGGTATACAATTTCTTTTCTTCTCTCCCACTACCATATATTTTGTTTTGAGGAAATTGATCTTTAATCCTGCTTTCTTTTTTTATGTTTCCGCAAGCTTTCGCATCATGGCAAACTCATCATTGGGCAAAATCACCTGATTATGAGCGAATAATAATGTGTGAAGGCAATCTTCATCAATGTATATTCCCATACCTTGGCACATATTTTGCCATCCTTTTAGAATTTCTTGGAGGTAAATCTTAAACAAAGAGGGTGATAAACAACACCCTTGTCTCAGACCCTTTGTTTGTCCAAATGACTGCGAAACTTCATTTGCTACTTTTATTCTTGTTTCTTGATTCTCATACCAATCTTTTACTGCATTTATATATTGGGCGCTGATACCAACTTTTTCTAGAATTTGCAAGAGTTTACCAAATGGGACTGTGTCGTAACCTTTTTCTAAATCGATAAATACAAGGTAAGTCTCCCTATTCAAGGCTAATCTCTTTTCTAGCACCTGCTTCATTGTAAAGATGTTATCGATACAACTTCTACCAGCTGTAAACCCACTTTGCTCATCTTCTGTATTAAACTCCCTTTCAATTCTCTGTTTTATAATTCGACCATGCAGTCTTCCCGTAGATGAAGTTACACTTATACCTCTATAATTTTTGCCCAGTCAGGTATTTCCCACCAACTAGGCACCGCCACGGCCGGGAAAAGCTCTCAGCTGTGACGGGTCTCCCGGCATATGTGATAGTGTAGTGCGTGTGAGTGTAAATGTGTGTGTAAGGGGGTGAGGATAGAAAGAGGAAGGTGAGATCGCGCGCGGTCCGTGGCCCGTTTGTTGGGGTATGCTCCGGCATTCACCTGGTGTAGATCGGTGAAACCACGAAAAATTACCGATCAGACTGCCAAAAAGAACGAAAGCTGCCGGCCGCTAGAATTCTCATCCAGGCAGCGACTGAATTCGACCTAGCTGACCGGCTAGTATCGAAAATCCTGCCATCGTCGAGACTCGAACATAGAACCTCTCGGTCAGAGGGTCTGCAGTGACATCAGTTTATGCCCTGGGCCTCCCCCCCCCCCCCCGTGAATCCGCGCCAGTTAGGGGGTGGTTTTGATGTATTAGAAATTCTGGCCGGGCTGAAGAGTAGTGAGTGAAAAGGCGTTGCGTATAGCGGCTCGTCACGTTTCATTAATTAGCAAACGTTTCGTATTCTTTCATTTGAATTTGACTAAAATATGCATCGAAATCCTTCAGAGTTTGTTGAACTTTAAAACCGTTAAAGATTGATAAAAAAACGTTCAGAAACAATTTTTCAATTATGTGCATTGGCCTCGCTGCCCTCACGGTGTTAAATCGTCTGTTGCCTTCCCGGGAGCGGGCAGCTTGCGCATGGGAATATTAATAAATGTCATAAATTGAGAATTTGAAGTGCAGAAGAAAGCTCAGAAAGGAGAGGATGGCTATTCAAAAGGGATTAATTAGGGCGCCTAGATTGTCTTAATCGGCGCGGGTCCGGGCGGTGCGTGGGGCTCAGGCTATCGGGTGGGCACAGTTGCATCGGGTACTAGACTAGAGGAGGCCCAACGCCTAGATGCGCCGAGACAAAGTGTTGTGAGAAGCACATACTTTTTCGCATTATTTCTAACTTTTGCAATTTTCGAAATTTCAGAGTTCAGTGAAAATTAGGCCTGCGTAATTTTTTAACCATCCTGCGCTCTATCTTTGTGGAAAAATTAAAGAAAAATATTGAAGCCGTTAATTTTTTTAATTGCACTAACTTCAAGCAAAAATTACGTGAAAACCAGTATTTTTTGAACTGTATTAAACCTTTAATGATCCTTTTACCTTCTCGAATATACTTACAGCATTGAGAAAAATAGTAACGCTGTGGAAAATCGATTTTGAGATTTTAACGGAAATACATGTTTTGGGGTAGCGTGATACCGATGTGCGTTTTTCTTTTTCAAAATGTCCTCCCGTCTGTGAACAACACAAGCGCATAAACTTCGTGGGATTATTTCCAAAATGAATATTGTTCCGTCGATCTGGCTCAACTTGAAGCCTCGATTTTGAAAATAATTCTTTAAATATTGGGGGTACTCTACATAAATCCCTTGGGATATTTTCAAAATTTTCTCAAAAATAGTTCCACATTTTTTCTTTATGTTTCTTGTAAGAATACAGTGTTATATATTTATAAAGATGGCATAGGTTCAATTTCCACTGTTAACTTACATTTTCAAAAATTTAAAAGTTTGAATTTTTCAGCATCTTCTTTAACCAAAAATAAAGAAGATAGTTAATGGAAGTTACAATTAGTTCTTGAATTAATGTCACGCTCATTGTTTTGAATAAATCAGTAGTTTGTGCGCAATTTTGAGTTAAAGTTTTGGCAGTGAGATGTCGTGATAGAGTAAGAACTCACACACGAAGTTGCTATTTACAGGTTTTCAAGTAATTCTGTAAAATATTTTCAATTCCTGAGCAAACTCTTTCCACTTCACTCCCCCGCTACCAACCCCTGAAGCAAGCCGCCCCAGTACCGAACTCCCGAGAACCGCAGCGCAAAGCTGAGGCTTGCGATTACACACGCACGGGTGAACAATGTGCATCTGCACGGAGATGCCTCTCGTACTCGAAAATGCCCCTGGCAGTTTTCTCCTCTAGACTGTATCGCGGGGAATCACGAGACAGTGCCTCCCACACATAAGCTAACCTATACACAGTGGTCTTTTGACTGTTTCCCTAGGTCTACCTCAAAATGTAACAATTTAAAAACCAAGTAATAATTGGTGAGATTACTCAGTAATTATTACCTAGCTTTTAAATTGTATTGAAATTTTTTAAAAAATCTTTCATCAATTTACTCCCTTATGCACTTTTTTACACATTTATTTATTATGGTTATGTCATGGGCAAGACTAAACTTAGCTTCGTCATGGACTAAACTTAGCTTCGTCATGCAGGACACAACAATGATGCCTCATATGCTTGCAACATATGTGTGATTAATGGCTTCTTTCCTCTAAACAATGATACCAATGGAAGATTCATGAATAGTACAGTTGTAAAGATCCAAAGATAGTAGTATACATGTTTTCCTTACGTTTTCCCAAATACCCTCCCCCAGAGGCGGATCTAGGGGTGGGGGATGCCCCCCTCCCCCAAAGGCCCAGAGTTTTCATTTGTTACCTTCCTTTATTTGGCGAAATTGATTTAAATAATTATTTATGATATAGTTATGTAATTATTTAAAAAATAATACTGTTTAGTATCCTATACAGTATAAAAATAATATACAATATAATAATAAATATGTTTATTATTTAACAAAAATCTATAATGCCACCCTCTCCCCAAAATGATTGGCTGGATCCGCCCCTGCCCTCCTGTGTATGGGTTTTAAAGATAGTATTATTAGTAAGATAGTCACATTAAAACATTGGAAACATATGCCTTTAGTCTTATCAACATATCCGAAATTCAGCAATATCAAAGAGGGGACACCTCACAATGTTTGCTTGATTGTCGGACTTATAAATTTATGTGAGAAAATTCTTTAATTTTATTTGCTTTTCTAAATCTTACTGTTGTATTGTGTTTGTAATATCAGAAATTGCATCTTTCCCCTCTCCTCTGCTAAAATCTTTGCTACAAGAGTAATTTAAGCTAACAATATGTCCCTGGTAATAATTATTGTATTTTAATCTTCTATTTTGTTCCATTTGTTATTTATTCTAGTTCATATTCAAAGGCTTTTTATCTTTCAACAAAACAAATTATTAAAATTCTCTATAAAGGGCCCTTTTCTGTCTGCTCTAATTGAAGTTTGGTTACAAAATAACTCATTGGTTCAAAGTGGTAGCAATAGAATGATTGAAAGCGATACATATTCGAAATTTGCTCTTAAATTAAGTGAAATGTTGACATACAATAGAGTTGATATAATGACAGTATTCATTTTTGGCATGAAATAAAACTTTCAATTCATTTTCAAAGGCATTAATGTAGAAATTTGGAATGATGCTTCATGTTATTTATTGTCTTTGGGTAATGAATGTGCCATGAAATTTTATTTAGTTGTATTTGTTTTTTCAGAGGCTAGCATCAATTTTCTTTTTGTGAAATAAAATATTGAGACATGCATGTATGTTCAAACTTCCTGTATTCCATAGATGATTGAGAATGCTTTGTAATTTTTATTTGATAAGAATCACATATTCCTCTCACTTTTATTCCTATATGAAACTGGACCCAACAAATCAATTCCTAAATTCCAGTGATCTTAATTCATTTTCTGTATTTATTGAAGTATCGTAAAGAACTTTATAAATAAAGGTACATTTTAAAAACTCTCCACATATGTTTAGTATTCAGAGTATTTTTAAATAAAATAATTAATAATTTTAAATGATTGAAAGTAACATTGCCATCCAGAGTAGATATATACGAAGAAACATTTTGAAAAGTAGTTTCAGAAAATTCATGACAAATCAGAAAGTACATTAACTAATCATTAAATAGACCTTGTGTAGACTCTACCCTTAGGGAGAAGAACTTGCTGCATGATATTAGGTTGTACTGATCAAGAATGGTCTACTTTGTAGTTTAATCAAATTGTATAAATAGAACTTGGCATAAATAAACACAAGCAAATATTGAAACTTCATCTTATAAGTTGCTTGTGCAATACATATTTCTTTCTCTGCTAATGTATTAGATTTTCTGTCATACTGTTAATACTGATGGAGTGACTTTGAACTTTTCAACAAAATCTTCATAGAAATAGCAGTTTAGTAATTCATAGCCAAATTCTCCTATGTCGGCATGCCTTGTAGATTTCAATTTATATGTATTTCATACAATGCTCTCAAGTATATCTTAAATTATTGTGAACTCTTGTACTGTAATGGGGCAACCAGTAAGATTGTCTGTAAATCCCATTTCAGTCCAAACTGTTGGTGAACTTGAGAGCATGATTCAAACCCAGACTGATCTCATGGAAAAACTGAAAGATGAATGTCGATCTCTCACTCAGAAGTTGGAAGAATCCTCTGCACGACACAAGTAAGATGACTCATGTGCCTTGCTTCCATGTTTCTTACAGCTTACCACTTTGCTGAAACAGTGGTAGAAGTGTCTTTCGAGAAATATAACATTGCATGTTTAAGATCATGTAAGGTATAATTTTAGACATACATTTGTGTTCATGGATCATTACTTATCATTCATTTTTCTCCCTTGGATCTTTTTGGCGATTCTCATCTATTTCATCTTCAATTTACTGACTTCCAACACATTCCTTGCCATAACATTTATTTCTCCAGCTTCAATCTGTTTTTCATCAGAAATAACATGAGCAATACAGTGTGGTCTTTTCTATTTTCTCATTCAATTTTATCTTGGTATCTGAAAATTCTGATGTACAAAAAATCAACATTCTACTTGCCACAATTTATGTTGGTCCTATCTTATTTACACTATTCTGCTTCAATCTCCAATTTATTTACTATTGATTCATATACATGTAATTCCATTTCAATCTTTGTTTTCATAAGATCAAAAATACATACTAAAATTTCAGTAAATTTCTTTGCAGAATATTAAGATGTTCCTGTATTCTTTTACATTATTCTGTTTCTACTTTTGTGGCATGAAAAACAAACAGATTAATGAAACTAAAGTGTATACAAACACTGTCAAGAATTTTAAATCAAGAAAAAAAGGTTACAAATGTTACTGCAATACTTTAGTCAGTAAAAGTTCTCTCCATTTCCATTTTTCTTGGTTATACTTTTCAAATAAAACTGTGATATAAAAGTTATGATTTCTAATTTCTCAGTGCAGAAGCCTGAGTTTAATATAATATTTTCCTTTCATAAATTCTTCCCAAAAGAGAAGCACAGAAGTAATAATGTAATCACTACCCACAAAATGCACTGTAGTCTGTTGTCTCTTTTATCACTGTTCATTTGATTAAGCTTTACAAGTTGGCTATTTACACACCCCTATAATTTTTTGTTAATTCTTCCCAGTTCAAATGCAAATCTTTTAATGTGATTCATCGTTTTCTTAAGGGTGGTCTAAATTTACTAATGTAAATAAATGCTTTTGTTGATAGTAGGGAAGTATATAAGGTAGAATTCAAATGTTGGTATTAAACACATATTAGATGAGGGAAAAGTTGAAAAATCTTTTTTGTTTTCGTTAGAGTTAACTGTGACAACAATTTCTGTTCCACAAGAATACTAAGAGCACCGATTAGAAGTTGTAGTTTTTGTAGAAAATTTGAAGTTGTTTTTTGTATGAGTGATAGTTAATGCATTCAAATTTTATCACCTATTTGATATAGCAAATTCAAGTTCATTTTTATAATTAATGCCAAATCTTCCCAAATTGAATACCCCTACATTTCCCTGCCAGGGCATGATGGGAAAAAGAAGGAACAGCAAGAGGAGAAAGACAATGAGGGCTGGCAGTTTACCACATCAGAAACACCAGGACAAGTGAAAGTAGATGTTTCACTTAAACTGTCTAAATCTCACCGCAAGGTGAGTGGCAAGTCCTGGTGAAGAAAATATATCCATATCATTTTATCCCCTGAGTTGTTCAGGACTATTATGAAGAAAATGTATTTGGAAACTTGTAGTACATTGTCCAGTAGAAAGACACTACACTCGTAGTTCATTTTTTTGTAGAACAATCTGTCATTTACATGTTTCCTCAAGTTTCATTCGTCTTAGAAACATTTCTTAGCACTTCCTATCTATTAATCACATACATAACTTTCAGTGCATGTTGGAAAAATCTATCATGAAATTGGGCATCATTTTTATGACATCCCATTGTTATTAGTTAAAAAACATACAATATTTATGAAAACTCTTTAAATTAATATGAAATATTAGGATGTAATAAAGATTTACAATTTAATTTTTTAGTATTCAAAATTATCATCTTTACCAATTAAATATTTCTAGATGACTGGCCACTTCACAATTATTTTTTAGTTTCAATTATACAAGAATGCACAGACATAAATCGATCATGAGTAACTTTCAGAGTAACTTTCTTCCAGCATAGATTTATCAAGAAAACCATTGTAAAACAAACACGATCATTTTATTGTATTGAATTGTAGGAAGGAATGTGAATGAAGTATTGTCATATGTATTAAAGATTTGTAAAGAAGGAAAGATTGGTAAAAACAGTAAGATACTGAGGTAAACTATTCATATTAGTAGTTGGAATTAGTATTTTTGCATCTCAAACTCTTATGAACTGTGAAAGAATTTTAGTGCTCTTAATTTCAACCTTTACCTTTTCATTGTAGAAAAAAATAAACTAAACAGTTCAATCTACATGGCTATGACTTACATCAGTGCTAATAATCCTTTTCAGAGAAGAGCGAATGACTCTAAGAGTTGAAAGGGCTGTTCTCTTGAAGAAACTTGAACAAGTCTGGGAAAACTTCAAGGAACTTGAGCAAAGAAGTTTAGAAAGCAGTGTGTGTAATGTTTTGTCAGCATCAGGGAGCCCTGTCCAGGTAGCTTTGGGTAGCGACTGGATGAATAAGCTGATGACTACTGTTTGAATGCATTGTTTAATTTGTTAAGGTTTGCACAATGTGCTAAATGTCTTAATTTTTCTTGAAAAAATGTTAATATTTTTGATTATTGACTAGCATTAGGGGTACAATTGTTACTTCATACTGCATTACACAAAGGTAGATAAAATATTTAAAGAAATTTCAAAATAATAAACCATATTTATTATTGGATTTTTGTCAATTCTTTTACTATAATGACAAAGCATATTTTCGTAGAAGGTTTAATTTCAGGGCTGTTTTTTATTTGCCAGCTAATTATGTTAAGTGAACTCTTACATGATATAATTTCCTTTCATTTTTGAGAAAAGTATTTTTTTTTTTTATGAAGATCCTTCATCACATTAAAAATTAATGTTTACCATATCTATTATATTTCTTAGCTGTCTTTCTGGCTTGCTGGTAAGTGTTGGAATTGCGTTGTCTCCTAAACAGTTATGTTTATGAAAAAAGTTGTAAATTTGTGTTTATGAACCTTTTGAAATGCTTAAATTATCGCTGCACCTATAACAAATGATAAAGGAGCAAAGAAATGATGCAAACAAACATGATTCAGCTTTTTCTTCATCTGGTCACTACTTAATTTAGTGCAAGCGCGTAATGTGTGTGCTTCCTTTTTCAGGGAAGAAATGGCTGGGCTACAAAGTAATGTAGGATATTTGAGTAGCAAACTCGAGGCATTTGAGGCTCAGGATTGGAGAGGTAATTTTGTACTGAATGATTGCGTGTTTTGCGGAGATGTGAAAGGAAATGCCAATTGTTCATGTAACTTCACTCCATTCTTCTATAACCTTGACTTATTCTTGCTAGAGCCTCACATTCACTACCCTCCCCATCTTTCTTTGAATACTCACATCTCAAATGGAATAGGGCAACCATTTCTTACTCTCAATTGTTCACGCAAGAAAATATTATATTAATTGTATATAATGTTGGATTTATTTTTTAACGTTGCAAATGTGACATTTAATATTCAATAATTATATAAAATAACAGCATTGTTTTCAATATATTGAATAGTGATGGAGTAAATTAATATTGTTAAGAAATATTCTCTAGAAATATTGTATAGTGTATTATTAAAGAGGGGAGTTTAAATGGCCTATCCTTCCAATGTTAAATATGCTGAAAAGATGACCCTTTTTCTCTGAAATGGTTGCAGCCAAATCTGTGAAATTTCTACTAGTTATTCTCGTGAATGTTCTTGTACCATTGCTCTACTTTTATTCATTTTCATATGTCAGAAATAAAAATATGAATTTTTGAAAAAAATGTACTCAAATTTACAACAGAAAAATAATTTTTTTATATATTGTGGGATATCTACTAATCAGATTTACATTATTGTAGAGCTGTAGTTTAGTAATATTGTTGTTAATATGTATCAAAAATTTCAAATTTCTATTACTTACTGTTTCTGAGAAAATGGGTCATTTCTACCAACAAATGTAGTTTTCCCTAAACTGCGATTAAAGATAAAGGACTATAGATCATGGTCATTTTTTGAGACTGAATACTTCTGTATTTAAAACAATTTGTAGGGAGACAGGGAAAATTCACAAGTGCAAATAGTGTTTGTCCAGAACTCAGTCCTCTGCCAATGCTGGGGAATTAAGACGTCCATAGGCAAATCTAACATTAGTTTCATACAAGTCACTATCATGACACTTCTTTCAAGTGTAATGAGAAACAATATGTTTTCCTTTTGGAGAATGTGACTGACTCCAAACGGCCATGATTTCTGTGTGACGTGGATTTGTAAATAAAAATTAATTTAAGCAACTTCCAGATGACATAGATAAATAAAACAAACACCAAAATAAAGAACGGAATTCAATTGTTATTTTCAGTGAAAAAAATTATAAAAACACAAGTTTTTGATAAAATACTGTATTTACTCCCCTTAAAGAGTATTTTAATTACCTCACTCATATTTTTATTACTCTGACACTAATTTATTGTGAATCTAAAATGCCTGATTTTATTCTCTATTTAAGGCTCACCTTTTGTTGATGTATATTAACCAAATTCTCTCTTTTAAAAATGGAAATAGAGAGAGTTCTGAAGGGAAAATGTGTTAGTTACTCAGCAGCCATTGGCAATTCCTGATTTGCATGTCTTTTGTGAGTGTGCTGTATGTTTGTTATTGTGAATTTGCATTGGCAAGTGATTCTGAATGCCCTGGCCTCAATTAGTTTCACAGCCTGGCTCTTAAACAAAATACATCTCTTTATAAAAATGAATTACCATTTTTTAAATGAATCATAAATTACTTGTAACATGCTTCTGAAATATAAAAATAAAGATTTAATCCTCAAACATCAACTCATAAAATTATTTTAATGATAGTTTACAAATTATTTTTACTCTGGAGAATAGCACAATGGTTTATGTTCAATGAATTTTTGTTAATGTAAGTTTCTTTCTTAAACTAAGTTTTCAAGGTTATACTGTTATAAAGCACTTTTTTATTTTAATGTTCTTTCAAAGAATTTGTAATTTTTTATGAGTTCTTTAAAAATTGTTTATCTGTTAACTGTATCCCAGCCATTTCATTTAAGCACTTTTTAAATAAATACATTTTATATTTACTTAAGGTCTGTTTTAAGTAATATTAACTAATAAATATTAGGTGTTGATTTATTTTTATTGTTCTTAATTTTTATGTTTTCATTAAGCATTTTACTTTCAGCTTATTGCTTTGATAATATTAGACACTGAGAACGCAATAAAAATAGGACATGTGAAATGTATTATGAATGAAATGTTATTTTGTATATTGCAGTGCCTTGTAAAAATTTAACTTCTGTTGTCAGTGTTGTCGCATGGCAAGAGGTATGTCAGTAAATCAGCAAGAATGCGTGTACAAATGTAAAAATTGGCTTTATCAGTGTTGCAATGCTCACAAAGGTTTGCACATTCCTATCAAATAGCATCCAATACAAAGAATGTGTATTATGATGTGACTGATGTAAAGGATCCTAGATATGATCTGCATTTATCAAATCATTGTGAATTAATTTATCATCTATTAATGTAAGAGCATGATATAAACTATTTTTGAAATTCTTGTGACATTGTGCTGCGGTAAAACCTAGTAAAATACATGGTAAGAAATGTGGCATGTACTTTCTCATATAGCTACACAGTATTTAATAGAATTTTGCTCATTACTAAAAATGAGATGTTCTTTTTAAGACTCTTTATGGAGAAAAGATAACATACTTATCATTTGAAAGGCAGTAAAATCATCTCACTTTTATTTCAGTACATGACATTAAATTGGTGTCTACGCTTCCTTACAAAATAAAAATATTACAAATTTTCACAGAGCTGTCTTAGAATGGAAATAAAATAATTTGGATAAAAATATTAATTTTGTTTAAGGTGAAAATAAGACCCTTTTCCTCTGCTGAGGGGAATGTAGAGGAGATATTTATTTATTTCTTCTTAAGTAAACCAAGTAGTTTGAATTCAAGTTATAAAAGATTCTTGAACCTTTGATAAGAAGGAAATCTATGAAGATGGAATAACAGTGAAATATCATTGAGTTCTGATGCAGGTTTTATGGCAGTTAAATTAGCTGATATATTCCCTCAGTAGAGCAGAGAAACTAAGGTATTCTATAAGTATAAGATTCAAATGGAAAAACAAATCCGAGAAAATTGATCGTTTTTAGAATTTCAGGGAGTCTTGGATTCAAATATCCCGTTCCTAATTTTAACAGTCATGTACTCCAAGAGTCCCACAACAGTTTATTATATTTTTAATTTTTGGTCTTCAAAATATTTTCAAATTGGAAAATTTTGATAGAGGACTACATTCAAGCAAAAATTACACAATAAATGGTAATTGTATTAAATAAATTAAATACTATGTCTTCATGAGAAAGTAAACTCAGCTTTGTCAGTGTTGCAATGCTCATTGTGTGCTGCACCTCTCCCATGCACCCCTGCGTGTGCTTCCAGACGACAACTATGTTGAGGGCAATGAGCGAGGGCCCGAGCATGGCTTTGCGCTTGACCAGCAGTACGAACAGCAGCCCCAATATGAGGCACAGCCCGCATTCGAATCTCAGTCCGAGTACGAGCCCCAGCCCGGGTACGAGACGCAGCAGCCCGGTGCATATCCCCAGCACGAGCAAGAATATGCACCCCAGTCCACATTCCAGTCCCAGCCTGAATACAGCGAGCATGAACAAGAATATGCTCCACAGTCCACATACCAGTCTGAACCCGAATACAAGCAGCATGAGCAAGAATACGCAGCACAACAGCCCACATATCAGTCTCAACCAGAATACAATCAACGTGAGCAAGAGTTTGCACAACAGTCCACATACCAGCCTCAATCTGAATACGACCAACATGAGCAAGAATACCAACAGCAGCCCACATACGAGTCAAAACCTGAATACCAGCCATCAGAACAGTACCAGTCACAACCAAACTATGGCGCTAAATCAAGTTACGGATCAGATTCAGATTACAGTGCCAAAACAGAGCAACAACAGCCCAGTTATGAACAGCAGCCTGAATATACATCACAGTCAGACTACAGTGGATCCCAAGTCCAATATCAAGCTCCAGAGCCCCAGTATCAACCCCAGACCCAACAGTCCTACCAGCAAGGATCCCCAGCAAGAGAATTCTATCCTGAAGCTCCTAGGACCCAACAGGCCTTTAGAAAACAGTCCAGTTCAGAACAAGTTCCACCTTCTCCAAGACGATCTCGTCCTGTGTCCCGACAGGGATCTGGCTCAGATCAATTACCTCCTGTGTCCCCGTCAACACCTCAACGATTCTTCAGGCAAGGCAGCTCCGAACTCCCTCCCCGATCTCCAAGCAGAGCTGCTATTGCATCCAAGAAACAATCTAGTACAGAATTACAACAGTCCTATACCCCAGCATCCAACTACCAGACACAGCATGGAATCGAACCTACACCTCATCCCTACACTGAACAATTTGGAGCATATGACGACAGACAGTCTACTGAGTACATTGCAGAAACACAGCCTCAACTTAGCCGTCAACCCAGTGCAGAATCACACATTGCCACTCGCCCACCAAGTGTGGAACCCCAGTGGCAAGGACCTGGTTCCAACATGTCCCCTCAGGGACCACCACCTCCCCAGCCTTAAGCCACGGTGTAAGGTGGATCTACAGCCTCCACTGACTTTGGAAGATTTGGCTACTGACAGTGATTCATGTGAATCTCAGGCAGCCCAGCAGCTGGTTTTTCGGTAGCATTAACTAATGAGCCGCCTTTCATATTTACTGCCGTCATTGATTTTTTTTTGTAGTGATGTAAAAGAAATAGTGTTAAAATGTGTGTAGAATCACAAGTACATTCAAATATAAAATATTTCTTTTTGTATAGGGTAAGCCGTTTCAATCACCTACAATGTATAAAAAAAGGCTCACCAATATCAAATAAAAATATGCATCTATATCAACTTTTTGGTCTTTTGTTTTCTTAAAAATGTGACTATATTCTATAGATATTTGCAGTTAAATAAATAAAAGAAATACAGTTCATAATTTTCCTTGCTAGTGTCTGAAGAGAAAGTTACCAAATAAACAAACAGGGTTGTTCATGTAATCTGTTGTGCTGCAAACTTTGAAAACATGGAGATGTCTTTGTCAGCATTAGGAGGTAAGCACGTTACTTCACTGTCATGTTTTGAATGCCTTTTCTTATGCCTTATGTAATTTGCATGGATGTATCTCACCAGAAATGCTTAATCATAATTTCTGGAAATGTTGCCTGCAGTATTCTTGACTAAGATATAATAATTCAACTTTAATGTTTAAATAGTTCAGATTTCATGTTAAAAAAAAAAAAGTATGAATATTTAATTTGAAATAAACCTCACTTCAACTATGATATTTAAACTGTTTTTGCTCATTGATTCAGTAAGAAAATTAAATATTCTTTGACTATCAATCTTGGAAAGAACCCATAACATTCATCTCAGTAACAGCTTTTGCATTAAAAAATGTATTCTGTCAAATATCAAACTTTTTGCAGTGTTTGTAGTACTATTTGAAGCTAGTGCTTCAACTGCATATTGCAATGTGTTTAAGGTAAACGCCTCAAAAAGAAAGAAGATGCCGATAAATGACAGCCTCCGAAGTAGCTCAGTTCAAGATTCTTCTTTCTTGTTCTTCTAGTTGGATATTGAAAGGTACTCTGTTGCACACATGCATTATCAGCACTGAGCTATGTTAATTCATGACATGGTTTTAT